TAGAGTACTATTGGATTACAAATTCAATAATAGTATTACCAACAAATTGTAATAATAAAATTTGTGTTTTCGGTACAACTAATTTTTAAAACGTGTCGCGTAAATGTTGATTGACTTGTATCATTCATTCATTCTGTTCACGTCAAGATCCGAGTCTTTCCTGGAGAACGAAATTTTGTGTGTCAAAAGAACCGTGCTGCCGTCAACTTCCTATTTACCTATAAATTAAATGTAACTGGTGACTGTAAACTGCGAAACATCACCAAAACGCACACGCTTGTAGTAAAATGAAGCAGCGAAAGAATCGAGTGCACAACGAAGCGGAGCGAAATGTCCGTCGGTGCCCGCAGTCTGATCAAGGCCCACTACTCCTGGGTTTCGAAATCTTAAAAACGGTGGGTATATTTATTTACCAGAAAAGCCCATAAGGGCATGTACTTAATTCTTAACCTCGGGCGTGCTATAGGTAATACGTTCCTACGCCTCTGAGTCAGATCAACGCCATCTTGAATTAGAGGGCGTTGGTCAGATCAAGGCCCTCTTAGATACGGAATGCCATGGTCAGATCGCTCCAAAGTACACGTTGCCAATTTTCAACATTCCGGTCTCAACTCTAGGAGGCTATGATGCAGCTTAATTGTTTATAAATAACATACTAGTCATATTTTTTGTCATCAAGTCAATTGCTTACTTGTTCATTTTTTTCAATAAATATCGCTCGAGGTTCATTAATATTACCACAAATAACAATATTATCGCCGAGACAATATTTTTTAATTTATTTAAACATATTTTTTGCTCTTATTAAAAAATTATTTTTGGAAAATAATGTAAATCAAATTTTTCTTGTGGCCAATGAAGTCATTTAAACATTTGTAGTAAATGAGAATAGTTTTCGAATCACATGCGAATTGTTACCATTTCAGGGAATTGTTTGGTGGGGAGATATGCAATCTTAAAAAGGAAATAAGTATTTTTTTTAGATATATGTATGGTGTTATTACTACAAAATGCTTATCAATAGCTTTAATGGTTTGTTCGAAAGTTGGCAGTGGTACGGCTTCTTCTCATTGTTGTTTCATTGTTCATTGTTGGAGTTCGTTTTGGTGTTGTTCTTTCGAAGTCATGTTTCGTTGATTTTGTCAATTGTGGCGTGGAATTACGTGTTTTTAGTACTTTCAAATCTTGTTCAATTGGATTTTGCGAGTATACTGAGATGGATGTGGGTGAAAGCTGGAGTTATTTATGAATTGCGCCGAATTGGGAAGTTAGTGTGATTAATGCATGTGTAAATATGAGCTTGATTGCATGTCGCCGTGAATTTAATGTTTGTACTTAAGATAGGAAATTTGTTGAGACACAGGATTTGAGAGATGGCTTTCAGTGTATTTGTGGAGTGATAGTAGAGAATTATCATTGCGTAAAAATGTCTGTGAGAAAGGAATACTGGATTGGAAGGAGTGACATGGAGATATGGCAGGTTTTTCTTATTACGTATTTGTGCGTGGTGGAAGCGAAAGTTGAACATAATATTTGTTTGGAGGGCTGTGGGAGAACCGTGACTGATTAGACGCGTTTTGCAGAGATGTGTGTGGATGTGATTGAAGACGAAAGTGAACAACGTTCTTTTTCAAGGCCGTGGAATGTAATACTCGCGCAACTTTTCTTGAACGATGACCTTGCTTCCCCCTCTCTGGCACAATAAACAGATCAAGGCAAAAGCTCGCAGCGAGCACTGATGACAACATTACAAACACATCTTCACTGGCGCGAAATAGAAACAATTTTCTTTTGAAGATGAGAACTACTATCGGTTATTTTCTCCAAAAATCTTAAGAAATGACCAAAGAAGGTAAAGATCTATTATAGGAGATACCTCGAACTCCTGATAAAGTTAGAACGCAAATTATTGAGAACGTTACGAAGGCGTGACTGATTCTCCAGAGATTGGCATTGCTTCATAAAATCTAGTGGCCGATTTCGTAACTAATACCCCTACTCTACCCGCATTTCTTCAATCATCGTTCAAGAAAAGTTGCGCGAGTAATAGTAGCCAATATTTACTCTTAGTCGCTATTGAGGCATACATCTAACCTAAATCTACTGTGGTTTCGGATTGCTTATGGCTGTCTTAAAGATGAAGGTTTTTGCCCATCTTAGTTTTAATCATTCTGTAACATTCAAAAACCCTGAAACTCGAGCTCATGCAAATTCAACTGAAGGAACTTGGAGTGCCATTAAACGTGCCTTTCCACACTACAAAACAGAAGAAAACTTCTATTCATATTTCGACCAATATCAATGGCGCAGAAAGAATAAGTATACCGAGACATTTGAAAAATTACTTCATAGCAACAGCAAAATTTACAAATTTAATCAATGGGTGTGTGTTTAAAAAAAAATAATACTATATAAGACTTTAAAGAAATTCTCTTAAAAGTGATGGAGGTATATAAACAGCGGGGGAGCGAATCAGGTCGCGGAAGCGTGGGTCGGAAGGCCCTCGCAAACGCAGCTCATCCTATCCGTCGTGTAGCGGACCACTTGGTTTCAAAATGCGTTGCCTATAAATCAAATTCTAGGATGAACAATACGAACTGAAATTCACGTTAAGTTCCTATTGTTCTGCCCGGTTTACGAAGTGAACCTGCACATAATTGTGAACCGACTCCTTAAAAGTGGACGAACGTTTGAGAGTAAAAAGAACCGTGCCGCCGCCAACTTCCGATTTACCCTTTTATGTGTTAAAATAATAATGAATTCTGAATATTTGATCCTCATATCCGAGACCCAGGGTTGACAGATTGGGTGGAATTCCGCTTTTTGTGCCGGGAAACTGTTCTCTTGCTGGACAAAAATTGTCTTCGAGGAATGTCGCCCAATGGACGTAAAACATCAAAACTTGTGCTGGTTTTCAGAATAAACGAAATAAAAAAAACAAAACAACCTCAGTGACGTTGATAGTCAGTTTGATTTTTTTACTTTATATTATACTCATTTGTTAATTCGTTCAAATTTTGGAACGTAGGAATAAAGATCGGTTCTTTTTTAAAGTATTACATAGAATAAAGTTCGATATACATTAAAAACATACAAAGTACACACATTGTTTTAAGCGTTGGTTCCACTCAACAACACGAATAGCAAGCGATTAAAGACGCCACATCTTCCAAACAATAGTGCCAATTGATGTCAACAATGGTTGATAACATAGATGCAAGATATATATTTCCATTGTTGAGGAAATTTCTGTTCTAAACTTTATATATTATTGCCAACATTAATATCCATGTAACGGTAAATTATTTTACCACCAAGCACTAATGGGTTAATAACGGAGGATTAAAAATTTAAGTTAAGCTATTTAACAAACAACACACAACAAGAATTAGCTGTGTACTCATTTCCAATGGCATAGTTTTTGCAACAAATTAAAAAAAAAATGTGCAGCACATCGCCGATACCTACAGGCCGCCGTAATTGCATTTTCTTGTTCTTCATATCACTGGCTAACTTCCCAAAACGTTTTAGCTTTGAGCGTATCATACGTGTATTTTCTTGTTGGCTTCCGGTTTGTGATAGCTCTTTTTTAACAAGGAGGGATCTGTATGATATTATTAAATACACGAGAAGAAAAAAGACGGAAGAAAAATCCGAAAAAATCAGCAGAAATAACAGGAGTTCTCTTTGAAGTCATACAAATATTTAAGACAATATTACAAACCATTGTAAGTGACCACTCCATCAATAAGACATTTACCTTGGATACTGCCAAATTATTTTGCTGTGAATATCCATGGTGTCCAATGCTTCGAATCGTGCATTAGATATAGATTCATGATCTTGCTGTAATTTCAAAACCTTTACTTCGCATTGGACAATTAAGTAAAAAAGCCAAAGCAGCCAGTAACAACATGTTTAAAAAATATAGACAAAGTTTCACTAGAAACGTGTGTAAAAAGCAAACTAACAAAGAAGTGCGTTTTAGGCTGTTATAATTGCATGATAATTGCTGTTATAATTCCATCTAACCCACTGATTTCAAAACTAGATTAAAGAAAAAAATTAACAAATAGGCATTTGACCCAGAATTTATAACTATGTCAAAGACATCAAGTGCAACTTCATTCCTTGAAGAATTCACATGATGGAAGTTCTTATTACAATGTTATATAATTAAATGTTTGAAGTTTAAATAATTTAATAAGTCATAATAATTTAATAATGTAATAATAACATGTGTTTTTTATTTCCATTAATCCCAGAAAATGCTTAAAACTACTTTTTGCCAACTTTTCCTCTTTCTGGCCCCTCTATGCGCTACAATAAAGTTCTTTCGAAAAATTAACTTTGATTCACTTCTAAATTTTTAATGCAGTTAAACAAAAACTTGGCAACTAGTTTATAATGTGGATTTATTGCATTCTTACAAATTTGAAAACTCACCCCTAAGGTCGATCATTTTCAAAACATGTTTTTAATTAATAGATTATAACACCATAAACTCAGAACATAATGCACTATTGACAATCTGGAACTTCTCATGATGTACACTGTAAAATGCTTGGGGAAATGAAAAATTGTTTATTATACAGAACAAAACATTTTTGGCTAATTTTTTTAATCTCATTATATTTGGCATTGCATAGTGTTAATAGTAAAGATATTCTATCTATGAGGGACCTTTCTTGCATTACACCCTCTTTTATAATTCCATGGATGTTGTTTAAGAGTATTAGATTAACTAAAAGAAGGAACAAAATATTTTAACACAACATTCATTAATATTTAACAAAAAATGTTTCTAAGAATCACAGAGAAAAATAAATTAAATAAGCTGATCTGGCAGGATTACTTTCATTTCATTTAATAATATCTACAGACAATAAATCATAATCACCCCACATTCTTGCCTGCTTTAAACATATACCAAAGAAAACAGTCTTTATAATATTGTATAGATTAAAAATTATATAAAAACGTAACATGGAACAATACTTTATACAATACTTTACCAATATGCACCATTGTTTAAAATAAGGCACTGCTTAAAACTAGAAAATGTTTTACAAAATAGAAATAAAATTATTACAATAGAGACTGCAGCAAGAGATGAAGTATAATCCTCTAAACATCTATGATTCTTCAAAAGACATCACATTTTACAGGGTTCTTCCCTTTGAGTATTTTCATTGACCCTCTGAAAAGGTAGTTTCTTCTGATAAACTTTTACTGTGAGGTCTACATTAGAAATTGCTACATTAGCAGGGATGAGATAACTAGTATTGGTCTTGAAGCATCTAGCTTTATCTCTCATTAGTAGAAGACTAATCAACTGAAACAATAATGTTTTAATATTAGGTCACAAAAAAGTTGATGTTTCATAGGTCTTGGTAATAATTAGTCAGAGCCTATTTTCAATTACCACTATCAATTTACAATCTTGATCTTACTTCTAATGTAGTATTTCTTTGAAGTTTTGTAGCAAGATTCAGCAAACTGTTTTACTAGATATGTCAGTAACATAAATATCACATGTAACAAGGCATTTGTTAGATTTAGTTAATTCATTTTACTATTTAATTCAGTTATCTACTGTAACCATCACCCCTGCCAAAGATTAATTTCTAGACACTCTTAATGTAAGTGAAGACGTAGATTACCACTCCACAACTGAATCATATTGTACTATTGTTCTGTCATGTTCTAGCCCATCTAGTCAAGAATTTATTCATTTATTTAGGAATTCAATGTTACACACATCTGATTGATACACAAATTACTTATTTTTCATAACACAAAAGTATATGTATATTTTTATTTAGTTTTCCACTTAACCCTTTGAGTCCCAAGTTATTAATAAGCTAATATCACTCATTACAAAACTGTAGTAACATGTATCTCAAGTCAGTAATTGTTATTTCATTTGATAATTTCTTTAATGTCACTGATAACATCAGTACAGGAATAATGCGACTTGAAATTTACATTCTAAATTAGTCATACCAGCGCGTTTCCAGATTTAACATGTCATCTATTCTAATCTGTTACCTTCAAAGTTAGTTATCTTAAAAATATGGGAACTTTTAGATCGACATTATTTCTCATGGCATGAAAGTTAGATCACTTCCTTGGGACTGAAGGGGCATTTGGTAGAATAATTATTACACAAATCTCTACACGAAAAACTACACTACTTTGTTTCAATGCAGTTTTTAATCTAGACACAATATCATACCAAGATCAAAATCCTTTCACACTAATACAATATTCTTTTTATGACAACAGAAAAACATTTAATATATACTTATTTAAAAATTTTAGGATGTTATCTTCTATCACAAATAAAACAGTATACCTACTTAAAAGGTTTCTGTTTACTTTTTGTTTATTTCAACATATTGTAGACATACAAATATCTTCATAAATAGCATATACCTTTTATTTTGTATCTATTTAATTTAAGGACAAGTTAGCCCTAGATGTCAGACATGTTGCATGCTTGACTAGATTTAGATTTAAAGATTTAAATCATTATTCTACAATCACAGATAACCACACATATCAAATGCAACAATAGCAATTTTTTAAAGCATAAAGCACACAAAATAAATTTTGTGTTCTTGGAGTAAACTTCATCTACACAACTGCAGAGTTCAGAGAGAAGTGATATAATATGTGTAGAACACTGCAAACAGTTATCAATGCATTTTCAGCATCTTTTGAGGTTACAGGATGGATTGTTACCCCTGTCAACTACCAATGGTTCCCTATCATTTTATAGAGCTTTCTTTATCAATTTTGTCAAATGAAAAAATAGTCAAATTCAAATTTTGTGAAATAATTTGTCTCTACAAATTTTGTGAAATATAAAATATACCAAAACTTATATCATTTATTGTTTTCATGAAAATAGAATATGTGCTGATAGATTTTCAAAAGACTAATGATAAAATTTTTCGTTCTGTTCCGGTACATAAATTATTTACACATCTAAGTTTTGCTGCGATTTGAAAGTAAAACATCTACTCGATGTGTTCAATCTTTTAGAATATTATTTACCATAAACCCAAGTGTAAATTATTTTTTACCATCATAAGCATTCTTTGCTCAATCACTGTAACAATAACATGCATATAGCAGATAGTGCTCTCCTAAAGTTTCATTTGGAAAAATAATATCTTTTCACTTGACCAATGCAATTTTTTAAAGTGAATACAAATCCATATTAATTGAAAGATTTGTTAAAAAATATTATTATATACACTAACTTAAAAAATAAAACATTTCAGTCAATGTTATAAACTTTACCGTTGTTCAGACATCAATACAACATTTTATTTGATTACATTGTCCAAACTCTTAATTGTGCCATGAGCTCGATTGCTTGGGTAACTCAACTTAAAAATATGTATTTTATAATGTAAGTAATCACTTGGAAAAAGTTTTCAACTATAGAAACTAGAATGCATTGGTAAGGAAATGAATAGAAAGCACTTAAGGTTGAAGGTCAAATGTTATTCCCGTAAGAACTTCATAACACTAAACTATTTGGCATTCTTTTTAAACCAACAACACAATCCACCATATCAACTTCATTGTTTAAAGACAAGGAATACATAACAGGTAAAAATGTACGTGCACTACTTATTTCAGAAATGCATCAGAGAAAAACATGCTCAACTCAATCCTCTACAGGAATTGGTTACACATTTAGGGAAAGTTTAATAAGCCCTTATTTAAAATAGAAATGATGAAAAGGTAGGTGATTTAGGACGGGGGTTAATCACATTACTTCAATAATTCATGGGCTTTCTGGTTTGCCTCAGCTATCCTGGTGACATTTGAATCTCCCTGTGAAAAAAGAAAAACTGTGCTTTTAACAAGAACAGTGCTTGTAGAAAACGAACTTATTTGCAAAAATATAATATAAATATACTCTTCAAAACATTATTCTGATTATAAGGATAGAAGTAGATACATTCTTTTTCATTTGTAAAGCTACTATGTCAAAATTTCACATAGTACTTAATTGAAAATTTTACTTCTATAGATCTGATTAAAAGTAGTGCTACCTATTAAATTACTGGAATATAATAAAGGGCACATGAATTTATTTAACCTTTATTTGTTTAATAGGTATCTAAAAATACAAAAAACTTATTTCATTTGATGTTTTGTGATTTATTTGAATGTAATATTTAAATTGAATCAAGTACAATACCTTTTTATTTATCCTCTCTATCTGTGTGTTCTGGTTCTGTAATTCTGATCCCATATCAAGAGCCATGTTGCGCAAATTTCCAATCATTGTATTCACTTGTTCCATGTTTTCTTCCATCTCTGTTTCTCGGGCATCATTTGTAATCCTAAAAAGAAATGAAATATAGACTTGAATGTAGATATTAATGCTACTTTGCATTGATTTAACCAGCATTTAAAAAATTATTTCAGTTTGGAGTTCTAAAAAAATAAAATTCAAATATAACATAGGGGAAGACCTGCTTTCACAGGCAAGGAAAGGGAGGAGAGTCCTCTTTACTATTTTCTTCTTTTCAATGCTATTTCCAAATAAAATATCTGCTTTGATGTTTGAGGGAAATGTGTAACATTATAGTTATAGGTTTGAGAATATTGATTTTGATAACTCAACTAAGTGCTTGGGAGAAGAGCCAAACTAAAACTCACTTGTTTGTACGTAGCATACAACTGTGTCATTTCATTCAAAATCTAGAGTTTATGATTGTTAGTTTTCAGATAATTGTTGTTTTCTAATATGTTAATGCCTTTATAAAGAAAAGTTGAACTATCAAATATGAGAATCATAACTTCAATGTTTTTCCTGTAAAACAATCAATAAAGATATGGCAAAATTTAGTTGTAGGGTAAAATGAAAAATATTCTGGAAAGCACATGATGTATAGAGGAAAGTGAAAAATATACCATTGTAAATATAAATTCTCATATTTAAAATAGCTAATCTATTATTATGACTTTTTCCTTTCAATATGAAAACCAACAATAAATTTAACAAATATTTGTAATTCAAAAACCAACCTTTTTTTCACATGGCTTTTGGATAAGGATTACTTAATTATGCTGTCTCCCAAATTTAATGAGAAAACGTTGAACCACTTCCGAGATATTCAAATGATCTTGTGTGCTTTAGGTTGAAAGTCACGTGCGATGCGGGGGACAAGGTTGCGCATTTTTCCGTCGCAAACGCGATTTAGAGGAATCAGACCGACTCTCGATTTGTAGAAGTTGCAGTTGAGTTCTCATTGGTGAGTGAAGTTCTGTGTAGTTAGTGTGGTTATGAAAATCAGTGAAAGTGATATAATTGGTTCACTGTGTCTAAACTTAAATACGTTTCATATTGTATGATGTTGCAATCCGTTTGTTCTACAAAATCATAACTGGCACGCAGAAAGAAGAAATGTGACACAGAAAATATATAATAAATTGCCCAATTTAGTAGTGGATGACTTGACAGGTCATCAGAGCAGGTTTAAGATATCGAAAATTAAATACAATGCAGTTCATGCACCTGAGACAGAGTCAGAAACTGAAGAAAGAAATTCAACTACTGTGGAGTATGTGCCACCAGAAATTGAAAAACAGGACACAACAAGTAATATAAATAAATTTTATCTCCTCTCGGTCATTCACCTGTAAGAACTTCATTCATTTGCATCATAAGTCTGTTTTTCGAACATACGCTAAATGGCATTGTTCTTTCTTCTTTGTTACCAGTCATGGTAAGGGTTCCTGTGACGGAGTAGGCGGAACAATTAAAAGATTTGTTCTGTCCCCTAGTATCCAGGGAATGCAGATCACGAATTCTAAAGAAATTTTCGAATGGGCACAGACTAAAGTAGAAGGACTTTTATTGGCTGAAGTTCAGAACAAGATACAACTTAAAGAAGTGGTTCAAACCGGCACTTCGCGCCATTCCGGCGAGTGGCAATTCTCGGTGGAGGGTACGAGGGGTGATTGGGGATTATGAGGGAAACCTTTTTGTGCAGAGGGGTGGTGAGCAATATGAGTAACTTGGTACATACATATAGAAGGAAAGCATGAACGGTTTAAATAAATTGTAAAAAAATACACTACTGAAATAATTTTAATGGTTCATAATTGGTCACGAACGTGACGTCATAAATTAGGGGAGGTAACTAAGCCCTGCTATCTTATCGGAGCTCCATTACCAAATTGTACGCGATCGTGGTGCTGTGTGAGCTGTGGACTTTTACATTTTTCGTCGGGGTTGCTGTCGTACAGTTACGTTTTCCGCGTTCTTCAGATTCCTTGTGATTTGTGTTTTTGAGTGTCGTGTCTATGCTTCGATGGTGAGAATAAATGTGTGATTTTATGCGTTGCGCCGAAGGGAGTGTTTGGCTGTGATTGAATGGGCACCCAAATGTGGTTTGATTGCTGCAGGGTTACGTGCCTGGCCAAACGAATGGAGTTGTGTGATCGTTTCGAGTGGAAGTGATGCAAGAAAGAGGCCTCTGCTCGTAAGCGGAAGTGTTCCGTGCGGAAGGGGTCATGGTACGCGGGAAGCAAGTTGAGTATGATTGAGGTATTAGTAATAACCTATCTTTGGGTCATGAAAGTACCGCGTGAATTTGTTATGAAAAAACTGCACGTAAGCAAGGGAACTGTGACCGACTGGACGAGTTTCTGTTGTGAATTGTGTAGCTGATATAGTGAACCCATTGGAGGCGCAGGCGTTGAAGTGGAAATAGATGAGAGCAAGTTTGGTCGCAGAAAGTACCATTGTGGCAAGAGAGGGGTTGGGAAATGGGTGTTTGGAGAAGTTGAACGAAAGACGAAGCGCGCCTTTTTCAAGGTCGTTAAAACACGCAGCAGAGAGGAGCTTCTGGGCGTTACTCGTATTAAGTATTTCATCAAGCCGGGGTCCATAGTGTTCTCGGACTGTTAAGTCTTTTAACTGCATAGAAGACGGAAGTTTTCGGCATTTTGCTGTAAACCTCTCTGTGTTTTAGACCCTGGGTATTCCGTTTTTGTAGTCCTAGAGAAGTAGTTCTGCAGTGGGATCTGCGGACACGCCGAGGGAATACACCGGGACTGGGGAGCGCTTGCTACTAGTCGCGTCACTTTCCTTGACGTCTCGGCTCCCTAGTGCTCAACCCAGCACGACTTGTCACGGTCTGGTCAAAACTTTCGTCTCGCACGGAACGGCACGGCAAGAGTATCAAGGCTGCCTACCGCTGCTTTTGAATGAATTCAGTTCTCGCGTTTTCGCGGTTCTTTGCTGTGCCCTGTGATTTATTTGCTATTTGCTTATACGACAATATTTTGTTTCCCTCTTGGATTTACGTTTTGTATTTTGGTCTGTTTTATCGTCTACACTATCCTGCTGTATTAAGAGCTAAAGAGGCGCGGATAGTGTTAATAATATTACAGTTGGCAACACTGTGAGAACGTCTGGTGTGATGTAGGCAGTAGCCGCTCTCTCCCCATCCCGCGCTGCGAGACGTCAAGAAAAGTCGCGTGACTTGTAAGAGGTTTACTCTATCTAAAGCGTTCATTCGCTCCGAAAGTTATTTCTATTTAGAACTTGCGTATTTACCAAAGCTCTTCTTTCAAACTTTCAGGGTTGAAAGAATGTATATAAAGCAATTAGAGAACAAATATTCAAATCTAAAGGTTAATTTTGTTATTATATTTTTTTAAATTAAGTTAATAAATTTTGCTCTCAAATATCTTTAAATATAAAATTAATTTTATGTGAGTTATTAAACAACGCATAATATTATCCTTTTAGATAAATACTATAAGTTAAAAAATGTGTGTGACAAAACTGATAAAGATTGGCGTGCGCTCGGAAAACCAAGAATTTTAAATCCTCAATATTCGTTACCATGTCTTACATAACTTGAAATATAGACGTTGTCATTGCCAACAATAATATTTAATATAAGAGCAGCTTTCGAGTGCTTAGCCATCACATAGCCATTGTCTGATTCAAGAAGAAAAAACAAAACATTAAAACGTGAAAAATGCCAACGATAACACACCATAACACCTATATTGCATAGCTTGACTTAACTGTGACTGATTCATATTTGGGGGCATTTTTGCAGTATCTTTGAATTTAAAGATATGAAAGTCATGATACGTACTTTCTTTTCATCAAATTACTAAACTGTAACTTTTGCCCTATTATCTACCATAAGTTGAATTTGTTCTTCATGTGAAATATTAATCAATTAAATTAGAATACTTAGTATTCTAAGAAGATAAGAAAACGCATTCTTATCAGAAAGTTTAAAGAAAAACACTGATTTCAGGTACTTAGTTTTGTTACATTGCTCTTGTTGCCAATGTGAGTGTGTTTTGTAAGATCAAAAGACGATTATCTCGTCAGATTTTATTCATTTAAATAAAGCATCCAAATGTTGACAGTGAAATATAACTTCACACTGAAGGTAATAGTATGGCAACCTAACTCAGAATAGCGCTAATATAACATACGGACTATGCCAACCAAACCTGTGAGTTTGGTTGCCACACAACATGACTGATGAAAGTTCAACCAGAAAACATTCACGAATTCGAAAATATACCGCAATGAAGAGTCTTAGATGTACTATCCGTTGACACAAAGTTTTCAAATCAGTGTTATGTTTAAATTTTATTAAAAAAAGAAACTGGTATCGACTTGTCCCGGTATTCCCTAACGATTTATTTCATGTTTTGATTCAAATATATTGCATTTAAACCTACCCTTTATATAAAATATAAATACAGTATTTTTTAAGCAGTGATTTAAATATTAAACAAATATTTTTTAAATACCGTTCAATCGACTTGGAGTTTACAGAAACTTACTTGGCGATGTAGCCGCCTTGTGGACCTAATCCGTTGCGGTCGTCCATGACTCGCTGGGGCTGGTTGTTCACTACTTTTCCGTCGTCATTTCCTTTCCAGGTCCCTTCGTCTTCTTTGAAAGATGAAGATCTAATAGAAGGGAAAAAAACGAGTTTACAGAGAAAAACTGGTGGTACATCATGTTGAGTTATTTCTTGCAGGGGAGAGAATTGTCTTCTCAGTTTGATCGAACAAACGTCTGCTATGTCATTTTGATGAAAAACGCTTCGTTACTGCACGGCATATTATTGATGACAAACAATCGCAGTTCTGGCAAATAATATTTTTATATAAATTTGTGTATTTACGGAATTGGGTGCAAATGACGCCTGTATTGCGCTCGATCTCAGGCCATCGCAAACTTAGCCCTCCAGACCGCCGTCAGAACTGGAGTGCACTCGCAAATGACGCTGATCCGGATGAAAGGAAGCTGACGGCTGAACAGACGACGGTCGGTCCGTCCGTCCGTCCGTCCGTCCGTCCGTCCGTCCGTCCGTCCGTCCGTCCGTCCGTCCGTCCGTGAATAGCACTAACGCTTGAACAGGTCACAGGATTTTCTCCAAGGTAAGCCTTCCCCGATTGATCTCGCCTCTTTTCTGGAGAGCACTTTGCCTGAAGCCTCAGTCACATTCTACGTTTCCTCAAAACTGGCTACAACCATTTTACTTAAAATATTTCTCGATAGCGCAAGGGTCGCTTATAAAAATGTGTATGTCTCATTTTGACTGATATCTTTGAATTTTCTAAAATTGCAAAAAATTAAAATTATTTAAACATTCCCTACAACTTCAACATTGAAGATACATTTTTTAAAATAAAGTATGTTTTTCAAAAGTGGGTCTTTAAATAATGTCACGAACAATATTTTAGAAATTTGAGTAGTGTTTACTTAATTAAGAGTAACATCGTGGTATTAAAAAAATGGAATAGAATTTTTTCAAAAACGACTTCAAATTCCCTTTTTATTGGTTTTGTGCTTTCACTAGACTCTACATTCTCCAATCAAAAATTTCAGGCAAATTACATTCATATTTACTAAGAGGTTCATTAAAGTCTTAAAATCAGGAACATCCATAAAATGACGTTAGAAATTTCATTACCTGTAATGAAAGGGAAGTTCATCGAGTTTGAGTGATCAAATTGTAGCACATAAGCATTTAACTCCATGAATGCGAAGGATCGATAGAGCTCGCTTACCACTGGCGGAACAAGGGGAGGGGGTCATGGCCCCTATGTCCCCTTCAAAAGGCCTAGAGTTTTCATTTGTTATATTCCTTTACTTGGAAAAATTGATTGAAATATTTATTTACATTACAATTGTGTAATTATGTTTAAAAAATATTGTAAAGTATCCTACGTACAATACATAAATAATATATAATGTAAGAACAAATTTATTATTTAAAAATGAACTATTATAACTCCCCCCAATGGCAGAGTGAATTATTCTAGGTACCTGGGGCTGAATCCACCCCTGTCGGTGATCAACAAAATGAACAGTAAATTGTCTATGTTATATTGCGTTTCCCTTCCTCATTCAATCAAAATTAAGTTCCCGAGGTATCAATAAGAATGTTGAATTTCGAAATTAAGTTTTAATGATGAATGCTTGATTATTAAGTAAACATTTCTAGATTTCAGGAAAATCATTAAAGATAAAAGATCTGTTAAAGTTCTCATTTTGAGAAATTATATTAACATCTTTTTAATTGAAAGGATTTCATTATCCAAAAACCACACCTATTTAAAAAAATGAAAATGTCGTAGCAGTTTTATCTCAAGGACTATCAAACATTAAAATACTTTTGAATTTCGCACGGCCCTATGTCGAGCAAGATCAATCGGGGAATGTACATATTGGAGAATATTCTGTGAACGCCTTTGTTTACTGACAGAGAGAGACATATTTGAAAAAGAAAGAAAACATTTTTTGGCTATCAAGGCAGACAAAATTTTTGGCTACAAAGTCACGCAAAATTTTTAGCTATTAAGACACAAGAAAAGAAAGGAGCAGTACTGGCTGAGGATGCTCTGGGCAACAGCAGTTGCCACTGCAGCGTCTTTGACCGACACCGAGATGGTGGCAGGATTTTCGACACTAACTAGGTGAAATTGAGCAGTTGTCTGGAGGAAAATTATAGTGATAGGCTGCTGTCAGATCAAAAGCATTTATTAGTTTGTCCGATCAATACAAGGTGAATGTGGGAGCAGTAACCTAACAAAAGGGCCAAGCCCTCCCCCACTGGATGGCAAGATCCGGCGCCAACCTACCGTTGGCTAGTGGGATTTTCCACAGCCAGGTATCTCCCACCAGCGAGGGCACCGCCCCAGCCGGGACAAGCTCTAATCTCCCCAACGGTCTCTCGGCATCTCTGGTAGTGTAGGGCACGTTAGTGCGTGTAAAAAGGTTGAGGATAGGACAAGGAAGAGGAAGGAAAGATTGCACGCTGTTCGTAGCCCGTTTGTTAGGGTACTGCTCCGGCATTCGCCTGTTGTCAGTAGGAGAAAACACGGAAAACTACCGATCAGAGCAGCCGGTCGCTACAATTCTCCTACAGACAGCGACTGAATCCAACATAGTTGACAAGTTAGTGTCGAAAATCTTGCGGAACTGGAGCCTAGGACCTCCCGGTCAGAGGCACTGCAGTGACATCAGTTGATGCCCTCAGCCACCTTTCCTGGTTCCATCTCCCGAGATATAACATTCACTAAACATACGGAATTAATTACCATAGCTTTAACGAAATCAGTGAGTGGAGCAAAGAAATTGGTAGGAGTTCACTCACTTGTTGCAGGGCAGCTCGCACAGGCCGCAGCACTTGGCCATGCCCGCCAGGTTCTTCTCTGCCTCGTGCATGTCCACGTTGATTTGGTCCATGCCCTCCTCGATGCGCTCCAGTTGCTCTGTGGGCACACGCGTCTCCTCGCTGCACCACAGCTTCACTTACTGTTATTGCTAAATTTGATTGACCCAGAGATGTTTTAATATTGCTTTAAATAATTTCACACACTTGTACATCGTAATGAAATATCACTTTTTATCGATTTTTTTCTTTTTAAGTACTGTTATATCGGGATAACGCAATGATTAACAAAACTGTGGAAAGAAATGCCATTCTTAAAGATCGGCGTCCGATATGGATTTTACCGCACGGTCTTATTTAATTTTACTCGGGGCAAAATATGGTGAATTAGCGCAACTCAGAAAACGGGTATTCCGTGTTTATAAGATGTATTTATTATATGAAAGTGGTACGACGAAAAATAATCGACACACGGCCGATATCACAAATAACGGGCTTGGTTGGTTATGAACCATCGCCGAGCTTCATTTTACAAGCATCAACCGCATCAATAATATTTGCTTTAAATTGGCTCAATGCTGTTCATAACAATAAAAAGGATTATGTTGACGTCTGCGTTTTGAGAGTAGCTATTATTAGTTTATTATTTGACTTATTTCTACAAACAGATTTTGTTTAATGAACCTTTTCTTTTATTTCATTTATTTGACGTTTCGGTCATGTATTGGACCATTTTCAAAATCTACATAGAAGTAGAAACTACTCTTCAATTTAAAATTTGTTAAATTTTCTACCTCAACAAATACAGCGAAGTTAAAATCACAATCGTAAAAGTTAAAACAAGTTGATAGCTCTTTGCCTAATGGTGTGTGGGGAAAGGTTAAATACATAAGTCAATCACTTTTAATCGTGCTAGGAATGTTGGATTGCAAAGTTTCTCTAAAAGGGGAGCAAATATATTTTTAAGCGATTATATTTTTATGCGTTATACCAGAATTATATTTTTAATTTTTACAACAATTATTTATAGAGAAAATTCAATTAATATAAATTTTTATTCATGCGTCACTGAAGTCGTTTTCCCAAGATATTCCAAAAGTTTATTAAGTCTAAAGATTCGTAAAATTGCCTGGCTACATCACAAACATGTGTACACGTTATTACATGCATATTTGCATTTTATTCTATGAATAACTGAGAAAATTCTATGAATAAATAATCAAAACGGTAATTTTTATTATTTATTTTTAATAAAAAATACTTTAAATTATTGTTTAAGTTATTACGCCACAAATCTAACACATCCTTTTGAAGGAGCCCAATGATATCCAGCTAGTCGGCTATATACGTTGTTACCTATTTGCATGAGTAAATATTTTGGAAGTTTCACAAGTGCAATAGAGTACCAGAGTAAACGAATAGCATATTCTATTTTTTGTATGAGATCATTATAAAGCTTCCAAGGGAAAAACTACTATGGAATTTGTTTCAAAGCTCAAACTCTTTCGCAGCCTGGTTTCGTTTATTACGTCATATGTTAAGAACGTGTTTACTCTAAAGATTGCAATTGCGGATATTATTACTTGTAGTATATGAAAAATGGCACTCTCTTCTACAATTTACATTTAAACATAATGAACTTCACGTTAATTAATTGTAAAACGTTATTTGTATGAGAGGAAGAAAATATTAAAACTGCATGTGATACTTGTGTACTTGCATATATGTCACGAGTTCCTCGACCGAATATGATACAAGTACAAGTTTGAATTATGTGGTTCTTTTGACTTAATGAGAGTGCTGCAAATTATTCATGTTCTCATTTTCATGAGTGCGAGCACGTGAAGTGATGACCGTCAGCCACGACGTACTCTTTTATACAGTAGCGATGACGTCTTGGTTTATGCAATAAAAATACTGTGTTATAGACTATATTTACTGCTCAGAAAGAATCAGTTTATAATGATGGCATTCAAAAAAGATGTAATTGCAATGGTCCAAGGTCTAGACTTTGCCTCACATTTTTAAACGGAAATTTATTACAATCTCTGATGCGAATATTAAAACACTATCGCAGCCACAACGTCGGGGGGTTGGACATTAACAACACCTATCAAAGAGGGACTTTTTTCTAGCTCTGACGTCACGACGCCCAGGCCAAAAGCTTTCTGCATTCACCATTGTTGAACATTGTGAACTCGCAAACGCAATCCAACATACTCTAGTTGCGAAAGACGATGTCGTTGATTTGTGAGGCAGAGAGTTACAATTGTATTTAAAATCCTTTGTATATTTACGGAATAATTGTGAATAATATCTGAGTTTCGGGCTGTTTGAAATATTTAATGCTCGAAAAAGAATGTCCAAATTATATGGTTTCCTGTTTGTAGAGATCACGGATCAGTGGAATGTCGCCACAAATAAAATTCAGATATTCGAAGAAAATATTTTGTAGCCTATAAATATTTTGTGAAAAAAGCCGCAGCATCAAAAATGTTTTTTTCATTTATTACATAAATAATGTTATTTGTGCATCTCTTTTTATTCTCCAGTGTACTTTTGTACATATATTCTGTTATTACTGTAACCACTGACGAAGAGGGAAAACTGTCCGCCAGCTTCACCAATTTTCGAGAAAACGGTCTTGACGATTGTTATTTTCACGAACGTCATATATTTGACAGATCGTTACTTTTCACCGACTTTTGTGATCTGCTTTACAGGGTCTTCACTTCAACTTACAACCCCTGTCTGGAACGCCAGCTCTTGTTTTGGCAATTTTGCAACGCGTGAAAAACCTTCGCCGTCTCATTTGGTGACCTCTCTCTTTTAGTGCCTCCCCGCCCTGTGCTCCTACATATTGAGCTGGGAGATTGCGACTAATTTTAGTTGGAAGAAAGAGAAAGCACTTTTCTCTTATTACTCTTCAACGTGTTGCAGTCACTACAGCGAAAAGAGTAAACCCGTCTCTCTTGGCAAATGGTAGTAACTTTGAATATTTATTCTATTGACAGCTTATTGTCATTTTAAGAAAATATTTTATTACTTTTTATTAAATATTTCAACTAATTTTAATTTACTATTAATGTTTTATAAATATTTCATTTCATTTTATTAAGATTTTATTTGTTTAATTTCGAGGTTCCTTATTATTATTATTGTTATTATTATTATTGTTATTATTATTAATTATTATTATTATTATTTATTATTATTATTATTATTTATTATTTATTATCTTACATTATTTCACAGTATCCCTGGTCGGTATGTCAACCACAACACAGGTATGATGACCAGGTGTGTTGGGTTGCTTTACTGGAAGGTTCATATGGCTTTCCTGACACTACGGCATGTAATCAAAAATTACTGTCTTTTGATAGTTATATACATTCATGGTATGCCAGTGAAGAACAGCTCCAGTGGCCCCGAAGTGTCATTTTCGGGATCACTCCCGTAGCTGATATTATTATAGGCAGCAGTCGTCACTTTAACTTAGTTCCACTGGTTGCGAATTCATAGGCCGAGAATTTGGGTAATAAGCCTCTGGATCTTTT